TTCTAGAATATTAGAAAATCAAACTCGAATTTCCAGTATTTATAAAATCGACGCCGAATTTTGATATTTTTGGAAATTCTACGGCGATTTTCTGAATAAAATGAAAATTCAATTTATAGAAAATCGAGTCGATTTTCTAGAAAGTAGAAAATCAGAAATTTATAGAAAGTCAGAAAATCGACAGGGAATTTATAAAAGTCAGAAAATCGCCGGCGATTTTCAAGATCGATTTTCTGTAAATCAGAAATTAATTCCAAATTACAGTGTACTAACACATGTCACATTTATAAAATTTCGAAACATTTCATGAAGCCTGGAAGAGGAGTAGTAGCATCGCACTTTAAAAGGGCTTGTGTAGACCAATTTTCCGGAAAAATTAGACATCTAGTAATCATTACATGGAAGATGTACACTCTACAATGTTGATTATTCTAATGAAACTGTTTAAAAATATTCTGAAACATCAAATTCAGATCACATCAGTTAACAATTCAAGTTCAGATTAAACAATAGTTGTGAGGCACAAGACATGCCTTACAAATTTTTCATCTCTGATGCTCACGAATATTTTTCTTTTGTTTATAGACATTTATCACAAGATCATGTTTTTATATATATATCAGGACTCCCGGCATAACAGCAATTTAGTAACAAAATTATATGTTTCTTTAACATGCAATAACAATTCAACAAACTTCTGGATTAAATAAGACTTCCAACAAAATATAAGTGAGTGGTCTTTGCTTTACTCAACAGAAAGAAAATGATATCTTATAAACATTTCCTGAATTGTCCGATAGATTCCATTCCATCAAATGAAAAATATAACCATACTATATCAAGTCAAAAATGGATCAAAAAAATGAATTATCTATTCTTTCTTGTAAGTTTTTTCACTACTTTACTACTTACTGACTTACTTCTGACTATCCTTGTATACAAGGAGTCTATATTTAGACCAGCCCTAGTCCTATACATTTTCTGAATACATACAACTAGAACTATTAGAATTACTATTCGCTTCGTAACAGAATGAACTCGATTGGTGTTATTAAAAACTGGTTTTTATTGCTGAAAAATCAGAAATGTGACTCATAAATTTATAAAAAATACCTGAAAGCATTTCGGAGATAATATCATGAATCGTTTATCATAGCTGATAAATATTATATATATAGATTGATTTTCCAGAACAGTAGTGCAGAATGGTCTAGCGCTTTTATTTTAAAACAAACATAGATAGAAGCTTCTGAGAAGCCAATAATCTGCGACTTCATTAGTTTTGAGATTATCTAAAGACAACAAAGTTTGACACGAGATTTCTTAGAAAATGTTCTCGATTACGAACCATGAGTGAGGTAGAGCCTCTGAGTTTCCATTGTTTTGTAGAGCCTATTTAACACTGTAGTGTGCCTCATGAAATGGTAGCTCTGCTTTTTGGAAGATCCGTCTCGTACAACATTTATAGGTAGAGTACCTTGGATTTGGCGTTTTACCCAGATTGCGGCGAAATGTTCGCTAGCAAAAAACGGATTCCAAGAGCCCGTTAGCAGATCCCTCTTGCACTTTCAGAAATGAAAACTATTATTTTTAGAGAGTATTATGATTTCGAGACTACGACGAGACCTCTTCTGTTTAAAATACATGCTTCAATAACTCATCGAAAGATAATTTGGTTTAATGTATTATCTTAGCTTTTCATTTTTATTGTATGCATGGACAATACATAGAAGCGATCGCTAATTCAAAACTTGCGAGATATGTCGAAAAGATAGCTAGATGGTACATCTTTTGTTGTGGACTGTATTCTAATACAGGTACCCAAACAACATCTGAAGTATTACTTCGAATATCATCCATTGACTATGTCCTACTAAAAACATTTGGCACTTGTCAACCTCACTTGTCCCCCTATCTAGATTTTATCAAGTTTTTCTTTCCCTCCTAGCTAACCGTTCACTCTTCAATTTCATGACAACTTGTATTTGGCGTCAGACTGACGCGATACAATGTATTACATAATTTATAGTAATCCGAAACATGACCAATAAATTTGCTAATAAACTGACTTTTTTTTAAGAATAATTTACCACCAGTCTTGTCCCCAAAATATTGTTTCATTTTACTCTTATTTTGTGTACAAATAGAAACAAATTGGCTTTTGCAAATGTGTGTGTAGTTAAGAAGCTAAAAAGAACTTCAGCTGATTTAAACCTTGCGCAGTTTTATTTAATTAATTTGGAATTTTCGACCAAAAACGACCGACATTTTTTTTTACAGACAAGAGGTTAACATATTTTTTCAACATGAAAAAAACAAGGAGTTCAAAGTAAATAGGCAATAAATAGTTCTTAGTATTAGTTGCTATTACCAATTCAACATGTACAGTTCTCTCTCTATCTATTTCCTCTAAATTTCTTGTTTTTTCAACAACAAAAAACATGTGAACGATTATCTGTTTAAAATAACCGTAGTTGGTTCAAAATTCCAAATTTCACAACAAGTGCAACAACTTTAGCGAACAATAATCAAGCAGGATCAAACAATGGTCATAATGGAGTACGAACACGTTTGAGTTTGTACATGCTATTGAAATTAGTCATTTTTATATTTTTCGATATTTTTTATTTAGCTTAAATTCCACACGATCAATAAGTTATTTGTTCACGGCGGTTCTTATGATGACTATCATCAATGATCACTTATGCTCTTCAAACATTTTAATTTGGGAAAACTGTTTTAAATTCAAGTTTATCATGCTAGAAAGTGTGAATGTATGCCGCTTTTTCTGGTTATGTATTGTAGTTAAAATTCAAATTTCGGATTTGACTAGCCACAATCAGAATTAAGAATCTAGTTTCAATTTTGGCTACAGCACATATATAAGGTACACGTAGTTCAAAGGATGAACACTACTTTTTTGTTCTTGACGAAGCACACATGGCTGGATAGAACTCGTCGAGTTAAGTCGGAAAATATGTTGTGACCTTTGAAACTAGATCTAGAAAGAGCAAATTTTGAAAAACTGAAAATTTTACTTTAGATTAAAAACCGACAATATTACAACGCAACTGATTTTTTCGGACTCCGTTTAGGTTTGACAGATTTGCGCTGTTTTTGTGCTAATGTAGCGTGAAAAACAGAATACGAAAACGCGAATTCGATATTGCTTGCATATGTGGACTGGAAATTTCCAGATCCAGTGAAGGTCAAGAAACTGGGCACTATTCTTTTTGTAAACCTATCTAGTTTTTTTGTTTAACTGCCGAAGCCATATTTCATATATCGTTTGAATCGTTATACCATCAGGAAAAACGCTGAACGTCCTTTTTTTTATGTGTTAATTCCATGCTGAGAAAATTCATTTTTTCTAAATACGAGGAGAAAAAGTCAGACTTCTGCTCGTAATTGTCAATTTTCTCTAGCAGAACTCAAGTTTTATGCAACAGAAATATCATATTCGGAATCGGGATAAAAAATGCACTCCACTAATATCTATTTCTATTCTATTCGGCTACTTCAGTTTTTGTCCAATTCTCACGTTGAAAAATTATCGAGATTTTCCAAACTGAGCAGAATGTTGTGTATTTCGAGATGTTTACTTGATTTTTATTTTTTGGTGAAAATCTCAATAATTTTTCAACGTGAGAATTAGACAAAAACTAAAGATAGATAGAAATAGACTATAGGTAGAAAAATTTAAAGAATAGGATAGAAATACACAACGCTCGACTTGACTTTTTCGCCTCAGATTTATAAAAAATGAATTTTCTCAGCATGGAATTACCACATAAAAAAACCGATGTTCAGCGATTTTCCTGATGTTATAACGATTCGAATCACATATGAAATATGGCTTCGGCAATTAACCAAAAAAACTAGATAGGTTTACAAAGGGAACAGTGTCTAGTTTCTCGACATCCACTGAATCTGGAAATTTCCAGTCCACATATGCGAACAATATTGAAGTCATGTTTCCTTATTCAGCTTTTCACGCTGAATAAGAAGAAAAAAACCGCAAACCTATCAAAAAAGGGAGTTTGAGAAATCAATCTTATTATAATACTGTCGGTTTTTAATCTAAAGTAAAATTTTCAGTTTTTCAACATTTTCTCTTGTCAGATCTAGTTCCAAAGGTCAAAACATATATATTCCGATTCAGCTCTATGAGCTCTATCCCTGCATGTCTCGTCGAGAAAAAAAGTAGTGCTAATCCGCTGAACTTCGTGCAGCTTACATTCCTTCTTTCTTTTTTCATCTTCCTTTCTAATACATACGACAAAATTGATACATAAAATTAATTTCTACTATTTTCGGCAATGTAGTATGGCTTTCACAGTATTACACACGCATAGAATGATTTATTTAGTAGCTAGTTTTAATTTTCTTTGTGTTTTTATTTTCACTAGTTGTACTTTGTCGTTTTGAAAATGTAGTATGGAGATTGCGATTGTTGCTGCTGTGACTCATAAAAATTATATGAATATTTTTCTCTTGTTCGAAGCATAGTACTGGTATGATCTCTTGACCAATGAGGTGATGATTCTTGCGCTAACTCATAGCGCATTGGACGATTATTATTGTACGACTGCTGCGGATAGTTTCCGTGTCTCTGTGGTTGATAACTGGCTGCAACATGTGTGGGGAAGATTTGCACAGGACGATAATTTCTTTCGACAGAATTAACAATTGATGTAACACTTTCATGATTATCACTGTATGGTGGCGGCTGATAGTTTCCATGTCCCTGTTGTTGATAACTGGTTGTAACATGTGTGGAGGAGATTTGCACAGGACGATAATTTCTTTCGACAAAATTAGCAGTTGATGTAACACTTTCATGATTATCACTGTATGGTGGCGGCGGATAGTTTCCATGTCCCTGTTGTTGATAACTGGTTGTAACATGTGTGGGCGAGATTTGCACAGGACAATGAATTCTTTCGTCAAAATTAGCAGTTGATGTAACACTTTGACTATTCTTCCTGTTCGCGTTACCTGATGACCGTTTATGCCATTCGTAGCCTTCATAGTGTAACCATAAACCTACACAACTTATGAACTCTTTAGCATACAACTGTCGTAACCAATCAGAAGGGATTCCTTTCTTGCCGTAGTAAGCTCCGGCTAATTGACCATAAATAGCAGCTGTCGTATCAGCATCATCCCCTAGATTAACAGCATTCAGAGCTCCGTCCCTAAATGATCCTTCATCACTCCAAAATGCCCATAGAGCAGCTTCTAACGCCTGAACGATGTATCCTTTCCCTCTGATACCTCCGTCGTACCCTTTAGGATTCTGATAAGATCCCAGAGCCACTTTTAAAACGTCAGGGTGTAAAGGCTTATCTCCGAACCAACCACGTTTAGCCATGTTAGGATAGAAATCTTTGTCTAGAAGTTTTTCTTTCGACAGTCCGAGTAGAGCCCCACAAATCAAAGCTGCGTAATATCGACAAGAATCAACTGCTTTTACATCTCCATGAGTAAGACGGCCACTCTTACCAGCATAGTCAATGGCAAGTATGGGAGATCGATAGAAAAAGAGAGGCACTGGCGATAACCTCATCAATGCTCCGTTTCCTGCAACTCCTGGACCGCTACAATTAACGTCAAACCTGCAATTACTTAACTCTTCTTGAGAAACGTTGTCAAGTTGTTCCTCATTTTGCACACGAAGTTGTTTGGCTAATACCATCTGTCGTCGATCGAATATTTCAAGTGATTGTTGTGTGGCATTTCCAATGTCAAAACATTGTCCAGTTGATGACATATAACCGTGTTTCCACCACCATTTGTATCTAACCATTTGATCATAGGGATCATAACCTTTCTTCACAATAAGACTGGCTGCTAAACACAAAGCCATCGATGTGTCATCCGTCCATTGACCCGCTCTCAGTCCCCATGTACCACCTCCTTCCAGTTTCGTTACAGGATTTTGCAGCAAAAATGTTCGTGGACGGAACTCAGCATGTGCCCCTAAAGCATCTCCAAGAGCAAGACCAAGTAAGGATCCGATAATTCTCTCAGATGATTCGTCAGACACTAGGGGTGCTGATGGGCATTCATATTCATGCGGCAGGTTGTTCACATTAAGCCATGAGGCATGAGAGGACATACTGGGTTACTTTCTTATACTCAGATCTGAAAGTTTATTCAAAAAGAACAACTAGTAGTTTTTTTTGTCTAAAATCTTGCGTACCAATCTGCCATAGTTCAAGCCAAGCATGGGCGACACTTTCGCCACAACCGAAAACGAACTGTCGTCAAAAAAGGGGTTAACTTTCGTAACCACTTTATAACTAAACTTTTGTCACATGCCAAAAGAACTCTTTATCCTGAAAATAGAACTTCAACGTTACCCGATGACGAAAGGGTATGGTGATGAAAGTGCTATGACACGATAATATTATCGTAAAATAGGTGTGACTCATTGCATAATTTCTAAAGTTCACTCTTAAATCTTTGCATTTACCAACGATATGATGCTCGAGCCGAATGTTTAAAAATCCTTTTTTTGGCTGCACTTACAACATCCATGATCAGTTATAAAACACTTAAAAGTGGTTGCTTGTGCAAAAAATCAGAGGTACATTGTATTTACTTTTGAAGTCGAAACTACTAAAAGGAAAGAAAACGAAGAACAGAAGACTCAAGGTTGTTGTTTTTTACTGTGTAATTGCAAAAAATATTTGATTCAGCGTTTTTTTCTTGCTGCAGTTCAAAAGATCAGTATTTTTCAATTTTTTCATGCAAAAATGACGTTGAAAAATCAGAAATTGGGTTTTCTACACATAACTTGATGAGTTCTATCCAATCATGCCAAATCACCAAAAAATAACAAAAAAAAATATTATGCTATCTTTTTGAATTGTCGACACCTTATGTAGACAGTAAAAAGTATGAATCAACACAAAGGAGGGCGAGCATGTCGAATTCAAAATGAAGTGTCTCATTTTAAATACAAAAGTTGTATTATACAACAACCTGTGCTCAAAAAGGCATATGTCTATATGTCACACAGTGGGCATTTTTTGCTAGAGCAGGCGAACTTTAGCATTATGAGTGAACTAAAATTTCATGAACCATTTTTTTATAGGTTTTTCATGATCCTCTTTCTAATGGCATGAGAGTTGGGCTTTGAAAAGCTTTTTTAAGG